TAAGATGTGAAATGATCTGATTCTTTCTCTGCTGTTGTTTTAAAGCTGATAATAATTTGATTCTGACATGTTAAAAAATAAATTATTTCCATTTTGTAAAAATGATACTGAAGTATAACATTTCTTATTTTAATTTTTAAATATTTTTTTTTATCATTTCTACTTTGGCAATATTATGATTGAACATTTCAACTTTTCTCGTATTATTAATATTTTATTCTCTATTATGATTTTAGTCATTTGAATTTTACTCGCATTAATACGGCTTTATTGTAATTTTATTAGGCTTAATGCTCATTTTATGGCACATTTTTCTTAAATTATTACGACTTTGTTTTCATATTTTTTCAACTTTATTATTGTATAAATACAAATTTAATATGAAATGTTTTCATGTCAGATATTTTTTATTAATTTGTTTGATCTGCAGCTCAGTGACCTTTACTGACCTCTGACCCCCAGGACCCCCCCAGACGACTCAGGGATGCGTAACAGCGGCGCGGCGGCGGCGGCTCTCAGCTCCACGCCGCCCAGCAGCCTCCCGTCTCAGGCGAACCCCTGCAGCCCGCCGGACTCCGCCTCCTCGCTCACGCCCTGCTCCTCGCTGCCCCCCTCCGTGTCGCCCACCCTCACCGACGTCTTCGGCCTGCCCACGCCCCCTATGGGCAGCGGCGGGGCCTACAGCCTGAGCTCGTCGTGCGGCGGCAGCGGCAGCTCGCGCTCGCCGTCGCCGCTCACGCTGATGCAGGCGGTGGCGGCGTCCGGGAAGCCGTTCGCCTCCAAACCCGTGGAGCTGTGGAGCAAACACGACGTGGCCGACTGGCTGGACAGCCTGAACCTCGGCGAGCACAAAGACGCCTTCCTGGACAACGAGATCGAAGGCGCCCACCTGCCGTCGCTGCAGAAGGAGGACCTGATAGACCTGGGCGTGACCAGAGTGGGCCACCGTATGAACATCGAGCGCGCCCTGAAGCTGCTGCAGGACAGATAGACCTCCCGGCAGGCAGGGGGCGACCTGCGCACAGCTCCCTTTCACGCTAGCTGAAGCTGCCTCTTGCTGTTGTTGTCGTCTCATCCTGCGTCGCCGCCCTCATCTCAGAGCTTCGGTTTATCCGCCCCCTCCTCCCTGCCGCCCTGGGCGACCGCAGGGAGAGCGAAGGGCACCGGCGGTCCGTCTGCCGGTTTCTGGAATATTTTGGACTCTGGAAACAGAAAATCTGATTGGTGTGGAGGTTCCTTTGGCAGACTTGTGCTCTCCCTGCCTCGCTCTGGATACCGAGACGTTTTCCTGGAGTCGGTGCGAGAAGAACCAGCTGAGCTGGTCCGTGCTCCTTTTCTACCTTTGCTAGTATTTCTTCAGAGAATATTTCTTCACTAGAGTCCTAACGGAGTTATATTTCTGGGTGCGGCTGTAGGAGAACCTCTGCAGACAGACGGACTCCGACTTCTGTTGCTTTTCACCTGTTTGTGTCAAAACTGGAGCATCAACATGTCACCGTCCACAGAGTTCATGGAGATTCAAGCTTTCACTCACAGCATGCTCCCTCACACACACACACACACACACGCAGACACACACACACGCAGACACACACACAGACACGCGCACATACACAGACGAACACGCAAACACACACTTATGGATGGCGTCCACATCAGGATGTAGGGAAACCTGAGGTGAGGACATGAGGAGGACTGGACCTCCAACACGTCCTTGTTCTTACTTCACTTTTCCTTCCTGCACCGTGTGTGTGTGTGTGTTTGTGTGTGTGTGTGCGTGTGTGTGTGTGTGTGTGTGCGCCTGTGTGTGTTCCTTTTCGACCCAGAAATCCCTGCGACCCGTTTAGCTATTTTCATAAATCTACTATGTAGGCCACAGTTTAACAGAAGTAGAACTTTTTGTGCCTCACTCAGTCGGATCTGTTCCACCTCACCAGTAACGGGTCAGCACTGGGAGCACTGGGAGCCCACCACCATGCTGCCGTGTCACACACCTGCGCACAGGTCGTACGAGTCCAGGTCTGATTGAAATGGTACAGGAAACATTTTGGGAAATACACAAGTTTGTTCCTGGATTTCAGATCCCGCTCAACTGATTCATTTAAAAATACGGATGTTTATCCAAACATAAAATCAACCATCTCCATCACATTTAAAAAATGACAAACACAGGATTGTATTTCATCCACAAATTCGCCCCGAGTGTTTTAAACATGCCAAACCCCTAGGGGGCGGAGTAGCATGACGCCCAAAATGTCAGCCAATCAGAAGCCTTCAAAACAACCACAACTTCCTGTTAGGAATTAAACATGGCAGCAGGAGAAAACTTCCTTTAAATAACATGTTAGACTTTATAAAATACAAGACAATTTATTTTGGGAATCGTATCAAAGAAAGTTTAATATAAAGTAAAAATATAAGAACTGAAAGATAAAAGGTTATAATGCGCACAGTGTGTAAAACAAACATGAATATATATTAAAATTATTATATTATATTATATTATATTATATTATATTATATTTTTAACATCAAGTCGTTTGTCTAAAAAGATCCAATCAGACCAAACTGTGTATTTCTTAAAAAGTTGCATTTGGATCCAGTTCAGTTGGACACAATATCAGCTTGTGACAGATTGAAATAATAAAACTTAATATAAAAAATATTTTAAGCACATAGAAAAACACTTTAGAAAAGAAAAATAATATTTTTATTTCACAAAATGACTGAAACGTTTGTGCACTGCTGTCAGATTAGAGATTAATAACTGATAGCTGGAGCTGAAGGTTTATTGAAGGAAGACAAGCAGGACGTCGTTAAAACGTCCACTTGACGTTTCTGCTCCTGTCGGGTCAGAAATGAGTCTCTGAAACTCGGCTGGAGTTTGGAGTCGAATCATTTATGAAGCTGAAGGTTGTTGTGTTTGTACATAAGAGTGTTTAACGGGATAAAATGTCTATTTGATTCTGTGTATAAATGGTGAAGAAGGAAGTTTATGAGGGTAGATTTATAGCTGCAGGGCCGACCTGATGACCAAAGCCCTGGCCTGGCCCTCACTGGCCCTGCCCCGCCCCGGCCTGCACCCCCGCCCGGCCCCCCCTGGCCCGGCGCTGCCCCCACCCTGCGCATCATCCGGCAGAGGATGCCTTAACAAGCTTGCTGCTCCCTTCCTCCACCCAGCTCCTCCATCCGAGCACGTCCCGCTCTGACCCGTCTTCGTCGGCTCCATCTCGCCCGTCACGCAGCTTTTCTTCAGGAGACAGACATCCACAACCCGTGTGTTCTGTGAACATCAGCCGTACGGTGGCTGGCGAGGGACAATGCTGCTATAATCCTGTTTTAAACTCAGCGGAGGGGGTAGAAAAGCACAGTATTTTTAAAGATTTGTATAGAGTTCTATGAAATTTTATAGAGGTTATCTGAACAAATACTGTTCAACACTGATGCTTGGATTGCCAAAAACAGAAATAATATATACGTAGATGAAAATGTGATTATTATTATCATTATTAGATTTATGGGTTATGTAAGAAGCAATATTTATTCTGAATGAATCTCCTTGGTTGTGTTTATTTCTCCATTTTCTCACCCACCAGTGTTTTCATGATGTGTTGCCTAAAGTAGAAAACACTCTGCTGCAGTAGATTTAAGATATTTCTGGCCAATGAAGTGTTTTCTGACAAACACCACCTGCCTGAGTAGAGCGCCCCCCCTCAGCGCAGAGCGTGTAGAAACTGAGGGAAGCGTGTACATTTTGACCCCTGACCCCTGACCCCGCGCCGTAGAAACCTGTATGAAAACCTTAGTGTGTCAAAATAAATCCACCTTAAACACTAAGCGGTGGCTGCAGTTTCTCTGTGGAAACGTAGAGCAGAGTAGATTTAGTAGGAATCTTCATCACCCCCCCACCTTCATCATCGTCAAACATCCAGGTAACTTTTAGTTTCTCTTCCTTTAATTTGCCATGAATAGATTTTATTCTTTAAGTCTTCATAGAGACTAAGATGTTTTGGTAATTTGTGCAGAAGACTTGTGTTTCTATGTTGCTGTAATTTTGTGCTACTGAATCATCATAGAGTCGAATAATTACTGAAACGAAGAGAGACATTTCCTGTAAAAGCACTCGACTTCCTCCCCCTCCAATTCCTCAAGGTTTCTTGTATGGCAACCAAAAGTCACTGTAAGAAATAAATATAATATTGCACTAGAGCCGTGTTCTTCGGGTGTTTTATTGCCGCAGCAGCAGCAGGTGAACGGCGCCACCTTCTGGAGAATGTTGGTAGGACTTCAGTTCACTGAGTGAAGCTGCAGAACATTGAAACTGATTCAGGAACTTTTCTGGGTTTCGTTTCGACATTTCAGCTTAAAGCAGTCAAACATAATTATTTCAAAAATCTCTAAGAAGTTTAATATCTTTTTAAAAAATAAATAAAATAAGTATTTTGTGACAGTTATTTTATTCTTGGCCAAAAAAGTGATTTTTTTTTTGCAGAAAACTTTTAGCAAAGATAACGAGTTATTTTGGTGACGACGTTCTTTGTCACTCATTTCAGAAAGCAAGGAAAGATTCTTTATTCTTTGTCGTTTTGTAAACCTCCAACAGATTCCTGAATGGTTTTACTCAACAATCCTCCCGGGTTCTGGTTTCGCACCAGTTTTTCCTTCCACTCAACTTTCTATGAAACTGCTTCAGTGTGACACCAGCTTCCTGTATTTACTTCTTTTTTTCACATTAAAATTTTCTGACACTTAATTTTGCATTCATTTCTGAGCCAGTCATATTTCCCTGAATGTGTGACAGTTATGAGTTTCATTTCTGAACTGAGTGGCCGATTGTTAATATATTCAGTTTTCTGATGTTTTAAAGGTACCTGCTCTTTGCCTGACTGATGTCCAACCCAGAGGATCCACAAAGCCTCCATAATTTATCAGACATTTTCACTTTGACTTCTGAAAGCTGCATTTTCAGGTAACATCTGAAAACAAAAAGGGCCCAAAAGTGTTAATTGTTCATACTTTATTTATTGAAACATAAAAAAAAGAAAATGAAAAAGCAGATAATGATGCGATTGAAGCTAATAGATAAAAATAATCCATTTGAAAAGGTCACTTCATTAGAAAACCCAGAGATGAATTAAAGTCGGAGCTTTGTTCCCTTCAGAGCAGCCGGACGCCGGCAGCAGGCGCCCCCTGGTGGCGAGGAAACATTAAGACAGAAAAAACTAAAACACCGAAACATTCGAAGCAGCGAAACGAACAGAAATAAGTTTAAAAATGACCAAACAGGACATGATTCCAAACATGATAATACTCTACAGGTCGAGTTCAAGGCTCGGCCCGACTCAAAAGATAGAAACTCTGGAAACATCTCGGCTTTAGGAAGAGACGGGGGGCCGAGTCACTGCCGGGCCGAGTCACTGCCTCCCGAGTCACTGCCGGGCCGAGTCACTGCCGGGCCGAGTCACTGCCGGGCCGAGTCACTGCCGGGCCGAGTCACTGCCGGGCCGAGTCACTGCCGGGCCGAGTCACTGCCGGACCTCCACGTTGGCTGGGAAGAGGCCGTAGGCGCCCCTGCAGACGCCGCGCCACCAGCCCTCATCGATCATCTCGATGTTGGTGATGATGTCATCGGGGTCGAAGGAAATCTCGTCGTCGCCGGCTGAAAACGAGAAGAGAAGAATTTAAATCAGAGCCAGAATTATAGCTAAACTCACAAAACAACAAAACTAGTTAACATTTACATTAAGCTGACATAAATAAAAACGGTAATTCATGGAGAAAAACTAAACAACTGGAACTAAATCACAAAATTATCAAAATACAGATATAAAATGAAAACTAAACTCCTGTAACTGATTGGTTCCGACTCAACGAGGCGGGAAGCGTTTGGCATCACCTGCTTGGTAGTCGTAGAGAGCCACAGCCGTCACGCCGAGGTCGTCTCCGTACTCGTACTGCTGCTCATCTGCATGCAGACACACAGCATCAGGCCCGCAGCATCACTACTGAACACACAGCATCAGGCCCGCAGCATCACTACAGAACACACAGCATCAGGCCCGCAGCATCACTACAGAACACACAGCATCAGGCCCGCAGCATCACTACAGAACACACAGCATCAGGCCCGCAGCATCACTACTGAACACACAGCATCAGGCCCGCAGCATCACTACAGAACACACAGCATCAGGCCCGCAGCATCACTACAGAACACACAGCATCAGGCCTGCAGCATCACTACTGAACACACAGCATCAGGCCCGCAGCATCACTACAGAACACACAGCATCAGGCCCAGCAGCATCACTACAGAACACACAGCATCAGGCCTGCAGCATCACTACAGAAGACACAGCATCAGGCCCGCAGCATCACTACAGAAGACACAGCATCAGGCCCGCAGCATCACTACTGAACACACAGCATCAGGCCCGCAGCATCACTACTGAACACACAGCATCAGGCCAGCAGCATCACTACTGAACACACAGATCAGGCATCAGGCCCGCAGCATCACTACTGAACACACAGCATCAGGCCGCAGCATCACTACTGAACACACAGCATCAGGCCCGCAGCATCACTACAGAACACACACAGCATCAGGCCCGCAGCATCACTACAGAACACACAGCATCAGGCCTGCAGCATCACTACAGAAGACACAGCATCAGGCCCGCAGCATCACTACAGAAGACACAGCATCAGGCCCGCAGCATCACTACTGAACACACAGCATCAGGCCCGCAGCATCACTACTGAACACACATCAGGCCCGCAGCATCACTACAGAAGACACAGCATCAGGCCCGCAGCATCACTACTGAACACAGCATCAGGCCCGCAGCATCACTACTGAACACAGCATCAGGCCCGCAGCATCACTACTGAACACAGCATCAGGCCCGCAGCATCACTACTGAACACACAGCATCAGGCCCGCAGCATCACTACTGAACACAGCATCAGGCCCGCAGCATCACTACTGAACACAGCATCAGGCCCGCAGCATCACTACTGAACACAAAAAAGACCAAAATGCTGCAGCAGTCAGTATTCCTGCAGGTTTCACTAGCAGTTTTAATTTACTGACTTTAAACTGAAGGAAGTTCAGCTTCTTAAAAAGAAAAACTTTTTATTTATATTTTTGGGATTAATTTAGATTTTTGTTATTTTTTTCCCCCAAAAAAGCCTCAAATCATGAATAAATTCTTGGAACAAAGTTTGTTTCCTGTTTTCTGGAAGTTTCCTACATCATTAAAGTTGCAGGAGAACAGCTGCACTGCATGATGGGGTTTGTAGATTTTTCTCTTAGCCAGAAATACAAAGTTCAGCTGAAACTTCCTGGATGAACCTTCAGGACGAAGGAGTTCTAGTGACTTTTTGAGAACCCGCAGGAGGCACCGGGAACCCGAGGGGAACCACCGGGAACCCGAGGGGAGCCCCACTGGGAACCCGAGGGGAGCCACCGGGAACCCGAGGGAGCCACCGGGAACCCGAGGGGAACCACCGGGAACCCGAGGGGAGCCCCACTGGGAACCCGAGGGGAGCCACCGGGAACCCGAGGGGAGCCACCGGGAACCCGAGGGGAACCACCGGGAACCCGAGGGGAGCCCCACTGGGAACCCGAGGGGAGCCACCGGGGAACCAGGAGCCTTTGTAACGCTGCTTGGGGAAACGCCTGAGTTAATCTGGGGCGAAGGCGAAGCGCCACCTGCTGGAGCCGCGGCCTCATCGGGGTTCTGGTACAGGTCCGGCTGCTCGTAGGCGTCCTGCGTCTCCTCGTACAGCTGCTCGTCGTTCGCAGCTTCGCTCTGAGAGTTCTGCAGGAGGAAACAGGAAGTCAGTTGCCGTGAATGTCCAGGAAGTGGCGGGCCGAGTCTCCCAGAACCCACCTGGAGCTCTGCGGCAGGCTGGACTGGGGGAGCGGGGCTGGGACTGGGAGCGTGGACGGGGGACGGCGGCCGCTCCGCTTTCGCCGCGCGCGCCTCCTGCTCCTGATCCTTGGCTTGGCGCCGCGCCCGCTCCTCCTCGGCCAACCGCCGGTCCTCCTCCTCCTTCTGCTTGGCGATGTTCTCGAAGCGAGCCTTGATGCTTCCTGTGCTGCTGCCCGCTGCGCAGCAACACACAGAGGTCAAAGGTCAGAGAGGTTCACAAGAACAACTGGCGTAAAGTTTCATCTTCATATCTGGCATGTTGGATAAACCAAGTGATAAAAACTGTTTTTAACGTATCCAGGAGGTTAAAGGTGAAAGTTCACTTCATCTGATGTATCGAGTCTTTGTTCTTCTACGTTTCGCTCAGAAAGATAAAAACAGCAGAAGAAGAAAATGATCCTCACCAGCTTCCACAGGTTTGGTTTTCTGGTAGGACGACGACGGCTTCTCCACGTCCTCGAACTTCCCCCGGCGCTCTGAGAGACAGAACCGCGTCAGAACCGGGTCAGAACCGTGTCAGAACCGGGTCAGAACCGCGTCAGAACCGGGTCAGAACCGCGTCAGAACCGCATCAGGAGGCGGGTCTGATCCGGGTCTGATCAGCGTCAGGAAGCGGGTCAGAACCGGGTCAGAACCGCGCAGAGCATCACCTTGTCCATGCGGTCGTCCTGGACGCCAAACTTCCCTCCGAATCCTTTGGAATAATCTGGAAGAGAGACGGCAGAGCGTCAACTGAGGCAGCGCAGTCCATCAGAACCAGGCCGGTTCTGGTCCGGATCTCTGGTGGAGCGGAGCGAAGGGGGCGGAGCCTCATGAGCTCATGCTGACGGAGCTGCAGCCAACAGGAAGTGGGCGTGGCGTGCGCGGTGACCCGACAGCATGCGCCGGACGGAGAGGAGAACGCGGCTTCATGGAGAACCGGACCTGCAGAACCGGACCTGCACCGTTTAGAGATCAATGAGAGCAGCCGGCCCGTCAGAACCAGAGCAGCACTGATCTGGACCGGACCGGACCGGCTTCCTGCCAGCAGAACTCCGGCTTCCTAAAGGCCCACATTTCAAACACCGTCAGAAAATCTGATCAGATTATTAGTTTGATTTTAATCTCACATTATTTCCAACTTTATGCTCCCAATACTAACATTATTTTCTGTATCTTTGCATAACTTTTATCATACGACTGTTTTTGTTACGACTAATCTGGCATTAGAGGCAACACTGCAGCATTTAAACTATTCTTGCATTTAATGACTTTATTTTTTAAGACTATTTTCATGCTATGACTTTAATCTGTTATTTTAATAGACTTATTGTTGCTCTGTTATGAATATCCAGATCATTAGACTTTTATTTCCCAGGTGCTGCAGGAAGTCGGCCATTTCAGGAAAAACTCCTGAAAACCTTCAGGAATCCTGGAGATCAATTCCAGGAAACCGATGAAAACAGAAACGACTTTTAACTTTTCATGATTTTGTTCACAAATTAAGAACAAAAAACTGACTGAAAGATTTTATCAGTTCAGTTGAAACATCCAGCTGGTCCATCAGTGCTGCAGAGGTGTGTGTGTGTGTGTGTGTGTGTGTGTGTGTGTGTGTGTGTGTGTGTGTGTGTGTGTGTGTGTGTGTGTGTGTGACAGCAGGAGCCAGACAAGCCGAGGGAAACGTTCCGGTTTGTGTCTTTCTGGGACTCGTGTTTTGCCAGGTTCTCCTTGTGCTCATAGCTCAGCGCACAGCGGTCGACCCCACACACACACACACACACACACACACACACACACACACACACACACACACACAGACACACACAGACACACACAGACACACACACACAGACACACACACACACACAGACACACACACACACACACACACCACACACAGACACACACACACACACACACACACACACACACACACACACACACACACACACACACACACACAGACACACACACACACAGACACACACACACACACACACACAGACACACACACACACAGACACACACACACACACACCACACACACACACACACACACACAGACACACACACACACACAGACACACACACACACACACACACACACAGACACACACACACACACACACACAGAGACACACACACACACACACACACTCACACACACACACACACAGAGACACACACACACTCACACACACACACACACACACACACACACACACACACAGAGACACACACACACACAGACACACACTCACACACACACACACACACACACACTCACACACACACACACACACACACACACACACACACACACACAGACACACACACACACACACACACACACACACACACACACACACACACACACACACACACACACACACACACACACACAGGAAACAGGAAGAACGTCTCCAGGTTTCTATGGCGACAGGCTGGGATGTGTAGGAGGTCCAGTTCTGGATGAAGGTCGGAACCCGTCTCACTTACAGAACCGGTATCAGGAAGTGAATCAAAGCCGCTTCACCTTTTACCCAATGAAACAGATTCTGCAAACCAGACCCGACAGAACCGGATCGGACCCGACCCAAAGTGACCCAGATTCAGGTCTTTATGTTTCAATGAATAAAAGCAACTAAAGCAACCCAATCTGGACTGGGCCGACCCGGTTCTGAGCGACCCGGTTCTGAGCGACCCGGTTCTGAGCGACCCGGTTCTGAGCGAGCCCCAGACACAGATCCAGGCTCTCAGGTTTCTCTTCCTCCTTCTGTGTGTTTGGCGAAGTTGTTGACCTGCTTCAAATGAAACCGCAGCAGAGCTGGAGAGGAACCAAGAGGTCCAACAGAACCGGTCCACCTCCAGACCCAAAAACTCTGTTAACCTCCGGATTCTGGTGCAGAACTTTGAGAGAGGAGGATTTGAACTGATGTTCTCCCGACATCTCTGAATTTCAACATGGGTGCAGATAAACGGCTCATCGCCGGAGAGGCCCGGAACCGCTGCAGGCCGGAACCACAGCGGGGCGGAACCACAGCGGGGCGGAACCACAGCGGGGCGGAACCGCGGCGGTCCGGAACCGCAGGCCGGTCCAGAACCGCGGTGGTCTGGAACCGCGGTGGTCTGGTCGTACCTTTCTGAGACTCGTGAAGCTGCAGCTTCTCCTGGTGATCCCAACCCAGCGCCGATTTATCCTGCCGGTCCGTCTGAACACCAAACTTCCCACCAAAGCCTTTTACGTAGTCTGGAGGAGAACCAGAGGAGAACCAGAGGAGAATCAGAGGAGAACCAGAGGAGGAGAACCAGAGGAGAACCAGAGGAGAACCAGAGGAGAACCAGAGGAGAACCAGAGGAGAACCAGAGGAGGAGAACCAGAGGAGGAGAACCAGAGGAGAACCAGAGGAGAACCAGAGGAGAACCAGAGGAGGAGAACCAGAGGAGGAGAACCAGAGGAGGAGACCAGAGGAGGAGAACCAGAGGAGAACCAGAGGAGAACCAGAGGAGGAGAACCAGAGGAGGAGAACCAGAGGAGAACCAGAGGAGAACCAGAGGAGGAGAACCAGAGGAGAACCAGAGGAGGAGAACCAGAGGAGAACCAGAGGAGGAGAACCAGAGGAGAACCAGAGGAGGAGAACCAGAGGAGAACCAGAGGAGGAGAACCAGAGGAGAACCAGAGGAGAACCAGAGGAGGAGAACCAGAGGAGAACCAGAGTCACACTGATTTCGCTCAGCAGAAACTAAAACACGTTTCATTCCGTCTCTCGTTATCAATTATTATATTGATAATTGGTCATTATTTATTTTAGTTCTTCATTATTTTCCTGATGATCAGATTGAAAATAAAGCCTCATTCTGCAGATTCAGGGCTTTTTATACAGTATTAGAAATATATTAATGAGTCTTTTGATCCTTTTTAAGTCAGAAAATAAACATTTTCTTGCCTAAAAAGCAACAGCAGTTTTTCTTACTGCAGATAAAAATCCTTCTAGAATAAAATGTATGAAAAGATGCACAGAAACATCTTTCCATGTCAGACGAGCTGCAGATCAAAACAGATTCTGGCGAGTCGGGGCAGAACCGCAGGCGCTGCCGAACCGGGCCTGCAGACACAGATCCCCTCGGCTGCTGGGCGTCCGGATCCGACTCCTCAGAACCAGAAACAGAAAACCAAACTGAAGAAACAAAAAGGCGCCGCGATGGCCGGGTTCTCCAGAACGTTCTGCTCGTTTCTGTCGGTCCAGCTGCTTCCGGCTGCGGTTCCAGCCGGACCCGTTGTCACCTCCACTGACCTTTCTGCGACTCGTGCCGCTCCGTTTTGCCCTGGTACTCGAAGCCCACGGCGCTCTTGTCCACTTTGTCCGTCTCCACGCCAAACTTTCCCCCGAAACCTTTGGCGTAATCTGCAGAGAGAAACGTTTGCTTCCATAATTTAAATCATTCCAGATGTTTCTGGTGATTTTACTGAAGGAAGCAGATTTTAGACGCTTTCTAAATGCAACTCTGAAATGCATCTGTGACCTGAATCCACCTGCAGCAGCGAAGCGTCCAGAAGCTGCAGGTCAACAGGAAGCAGATCAGTTTGATCCAGTTTCACTTCCTGCTCCGTTTTCAAAGGCTCAATAAGGAGGAAACTGGCCGCACATAAAAATAGCGGCGGCGGCAGCATCATAATGTGGGACCGGGAGCCTAGAGCTGTTAGAATCTGCTCAAGATGTGAGGCTGGGGTCAAAGTTCATCTTTCAGCAGGAAGAATTGGTTGATCATGGCGCCGGATGCTTTGGATCAGAGCAGATTCATGTCCAGATCTGAATTCAAACTGATCTTCAAGCTCAGAGTTACATTTCTACAGGAAGCAGACCAGGAATTGTTTCCTTCCACCAAATTTTCCACTGCCATGAAGAACGAACCTTTCTGCGACTCGTGTTTCTCAGTTTTGCCTTGATAGTCGAAGCCGACCGCGCTCTGGTCGACCCGATCCGCCTGAACGCCATACCGCCCGCCGAACCCCGTGGTGTAGTCTGCAGGTCAGAGGTCAGAGGTCAGAGGTCAGGGTGAAGCAAAGCATTTCCTGCCCGCACATCGACATGTGAAGCTGCTGCTCAGCTGCTACCAGGAACTCTGGATCATTAATCTGGAGCATTTCCATCCTGCACATTCCAGGAATGTGAGAGGATCGGCAGGCGAGTCTGGACAAACCTTTCTGCGACGCGTGTTTCTCCGTCTTCCCAGCGTACTCGAAGCCGACGGCCGACTGCAACCACACGGAAAAACTTTAATTAAAGGTCAATAACACAGTAATTACGGATCCTGTTATTTCACACCGGAATAACGTCGAATTATTGACGTCGGATCTCATCAAGAACAGAGAGACCTTCCTGTTCAGGGCTCGATTTTATCTTCTAAATCAGGATCAACAACATTTGGCTATTTTGACAAAATAAAACCCAAAACTTTATTTTAGGTCTCAAAATAAAAATTAATTTCTACAAAATAATGGCAAAACTTCTGTTGAACTGTCGACTTTATGCAGCCGCTTATTTGAGAAGTCAGTTTTCATTTCGACATTAAAAGTTTTTTCTGTCAGTTTGTTTAAAAATGTCCAAAACACAAATATGAGAAATGAATAAATCTTCTCTCAATGTTATTTTTAACTGTATAATCAAAATTTCTTTTGTTGTAAAAACTCTTTAAATCGGCCCTGGATCTGCATCTGATTGGTTCTTTATGTTGATCCGGCGCGCAGCAGGCAACAGGCCCGGTTCTGACCGCACCAGAACCAGGAACCAACGCTCGTCTCCAATGTTTCCCTTTTCAGGTCCAAAGTTCAGAAATGAAGCCATAAAAAAAAAACTTCCTCTTCAGCCTGAGGAAGCCAGAAGCTGCTGGAGGTTCTGACTTTTGTTCAAACGACCAAATGATCCTCAGCAAAGGATGATAAAAGTCATTTTATCATCGCTCATCAATTTAAACTAAAATCTCAAACTCTGTGTTGATTCCTGAGAAAACCAGATGATTTTCATTCACCTTAACAAGATTTAATGCAGTTTTACTATGAATCGATTCAGATTGGTTGAATAAAAATCGATTCAGATTGGTTGAATAAAAATCTGCTGTCATCTGATTTGTCCTTCCGTTTTCTCCCCATCAGCCTGATCGGCTTTAAAATGCAGCTGGTTTTCACTGACCAGCAGGAAGACGTGAATGTGATAAGTTTGGTTTTTAAGATCAGAACAAGTTTGCAGTGGCTTCACAACTGCAAGTCTTAAGCTTCAGATGTTAGCGCTGCCGATATCGACGCGGTTCGAGAGGAGGCACCTTGTCGACGCGGTCGGCCTGGACGCCGTACTTCCCTCCGAAGCCTTTGGACGTGTCGGTCTGGGAGCAATGCTTGGACAGTTTGCTCTGGTAGTCGTGACCCACAGCAGACTGAAGACACAACAAATCAAATCCATTTTAAAGGCAACCACACAAACAGCAGCATCATTTCTAATAACATCTATATTCTCTCCAGTTTCTTCAATTTCATAAAGTGCTGTATTTCAGACTCAGATGGAAATCAACAGAAAACTGTATTTAGATCATTTAAGGCTGATCATTATTTTAGTAAGCAATTATTCTGAGGCACATTTTTATTTAAACTCTTAAGCTCATTTTATGCAATACTAGAAATGCACTAAAATGTGCAAACAAACAAATAATTCCTTTTATAAATAAGAAAATACATATTTTCTTGATTCAGCTAAAAAATACTTCTGGTATAATTGCATCACATAAAGCATGAAATATTAGCATTTATAACCACGAATCAACTGGATATTATCATTTCTTTATGTAAATGACAAAGTTTCCACGACTGCAGCTTCTGACAGACGTTAAACCCGAATAGTCTGAGGGGAACCGGCACCGCCATGCAGACAGCAGGGTGAAGCGCCGACGTCTGACACACACACACACACACACACACACACACACACACACACACACACACACACACACACACACACACAGACACACACACACACCCACACACACACACACACACACACACACACACACACACACCGGCTCAGTCACTGCTGAGTGGTTGGAGAGTTTAAACCGACCAGATGAAAACCATCTGGTCGGTTTTCCCCTTCAAGAGACTCAAGATAAACTTGAAGTTAAACTGGTTTGAATCACAACAGAAAAATGTAACGAAAAGAGTCGCCAACGACTCGGTGACGAAGCCGTTAGGAGGTCAGACGCTCTGGGAAAACATCCAGAAGGTTCTGCAGGATTAAACTCATGAATGGTGGGAAGTTTGGCTCTTTGTCATCTGGAGATATTTCTACCACGAGGAGCAAAGCAGCCAATCAGAAAATGAGCATCAGAAATAAATTATTGTAACTTGAAAAACAAAAAGAATAATGATGAAAAATTTGAGATTAAAATAATTCTGGGATCAAATTTTCCTCCTGTGGCCGGCTGGCTCCTACCTTGTCCATGCGGTCCTGCTGGACTCCGAACCTGCCGCCATAGCCGTGCGACGCCTTGGGCATGTTCTCCAGCTCCTTCTGCTTCAGGCTGGTGTGCTCCGTGGAGACGGTCTCCCTCAGCCGGTGGATGCTGCAGCACAGGGAGTCAAACGGTTAGCAGACGCAGCCGACAGCGGGACTCAGACAGGAAAAGAGCATCTGCATCCTGACTCGATGTGCTCCTGGTGTCCCGACCCGGCCACCGTCTTCGCCCCCCAGCGCTGCTCCTTCTCCGACACGTCATTCTGGAAAAAACACAAAACGGCGTAAACATGCGGATCAGGAGAGAGGAGGGAGAGACGGGAGGATGAAGGCGAAACCTCAAAGTCCGGGTCTGTCTCCCAGTCGTCTCCGCCGTCATCAACGGCAACCTTGACGTTTTGACCTGCAGCAGCTTTCCACATCTTCAATCAGCTCAACTCTCACTGCAACACAGACGGGTCAGACGTTACCGACGCTCCTCGTCTTCATCCATCAAAACCACAATTTTCATCTCTTCAAGAAAGAAAAAGAACTGAAAGAAAAAATCTACACTGAATTAGAGGAGGAGCAGCAAACCTGCTCAGATTTCCTTACATTATGATGATCAGCCAATACTGATGTGAAGCTGATCTCTGGCTAATGTCTAAAACTAAAGCAGCTTTCAATCCACACAAAAACAGATCTGCATCCGTTAACATCGGAACGGCCAGGATCTCCTGAGGTTCATGCATCCACACATTAAATATCACTTTAGCTGATTTCTCTATTTAGCTATAAATAGATCAGAGAAGTTGGTCCTGCAGATCTGAGCAGCAGAGGTCCAAACACTCAGCCAGAACCGCCTGGTTCAGCCTCAGCCGTCTGCAGGAGAAAAACTAAAACCAGACGCCGGAAAGCCTTCAGTTTCCCCAGAAATTAATGTTTAATTTGTCTTTTTGGTTCAAAAAACAAACACTGGAAATAAAACCCTGGAAAATAATCCTTTTTAACAGAGCTGCAAAAAAAAAAAAAGACTTACTGTAAGTAACACTGCAGTTTCAGAGTGTTTGGTTCGGTTACACTTTAACAGACCAGTAACATATTTGGCCAGAGGGTTGGATTCCCTGCTGCCCAGATAAAGACACAATGGTGATGTCACTGCGACGATGAAAAGCCAAATGAGAGAAAACCGTCTATTTATTTTCCTGCTGTAGAATTACCAAACCTTTCTGTGCTGAATCCAGTAAACAGACAGAAACTACGACCCGTATCAGATTTATCAGAGCGATTCCAATCCCTTCACTTCCCAGAAGCAGCTTTGATTTGTGCTCAAGTCGCGTTCAGGTTTTTACATCATTGATGCGTCATCATTCAGACCCAGAAGCCAAATCTGGATGTAAAAATGGCTGACGCTAGCTTCCTCTGTCATGTCTGCATTATGTGACACTTTAAATTAGCAGCAACAATAAATCCTGAGCATCATTATGTGCTGTGAGAGCGAATCCCTGGGCTTTTAATTTGGTAAAATCAATCACGAAACAGGAAGAATATCCCATCCTCTCTTCTCTGGAGCAGAGCCTGGCCTGACTTTGCAGGCCAGCGGTGGGTCTGCTGAGCCCAGATACTCAGGATGTTTCACTAAGTGCTGAATTTACTTAACAGCAGCAACATAAATGAACTTTTATCTCCACTTCTTTGTGGAGAAACAAGAACATGAAAAATTAAAGAGATTATTGAAAACCATCAAAGTGCTGAATCGTTTTTACAGCAGCAATGATTGGTGGTCTTTAAAAAAAATCTGATAGTTTTTCTTTATTGTGTAAAATCTGGCATTTTAAAAATGGTACAAGTCAAAACAGAAGAAACGCACGCCGTGAAGGAAACCAGACAAAACTAATCCAGAAACGGAGATTTAACTTCCTGTTGATGCAGGAACCCGAAGCGAGACGATGGAAGCAGAAACTCAGCTCAGCTGCATCAGAAGCCAGGAATCGTTCCTGTTTCTAAATCACATCCTGGGATCCCAGCCAAGTCTGAAGACAACAATCAAACCTCTTTTCACTGGTTTAGCAAATTATGTATAGGAATTTTTTAAAGAAACACAATTTTAACTTCTCAATAATTATCCCACACCTGAATTTGTTTTTCTGACTCATCCTGACCTTCAGTCGGTTAAATAAATGGCTCTGATTTCAAACCACTTCACCTGGAAGGTCTGAGCTCCACCACATCATAAAACATTAAAATGTGCAACTACAGAAATATTTCATCAGCTGCATGAGCAAAATCAGTTTTCTTCAGGTTTTATATGAGTTTTCCACACAATGATTAATGAGAGGAATCATTAAGCAACAGTATAACAAGTGATTTATTTAGAAAGCCTCTGATTTTCCTGGATAAATGGACCTGCAGTGTCTTCAGGCCCAGGCGGATCAGAACCACCAGGTGGGATGTTTGGGTCCGTCTGAACAGAACCTCCCTCTGCAGCCCTTTTGGCCTCATCAGCCACATTCCTCGGGTTTCTCCTGACTCAGCAGCGTGTGGACAGCCAGCATTCATCAGCTGGTCGGTGGGACCAGGAAGCAGGAACCTGCATGGTTCCTGGTCCATGACAGGAATCTCAGCAGAGCCACGCCCAGCTGCTGCTCACCTGTCTGAGGTGAGCTGATGACACTGAGGTGCAGACAGTCTGGTCCAACACTGTTAGTTGATTTCTGGCCTTTGCTCTCAGTCAGTTTCCTCCTGATCAATCAGATCAGAATGTCTGAATCAGCCAATTATCGGCTGAATCTCAGCAGGTTAGTTTCCTCCAGGTTGAACGTGAAGCAACATCAGAGGATAAAACCGAGCAGCAAACCGCGGTGCTTGTGGGTCAGACTGGTTCTGGTATTTCCTGTTCCAGTTCTCCAGCTAGCAGCATGCTAACGCTAGCCTTCCTTCTGGAATGATCCCGGGAATCAGCCGTCCCGCTGCGAGGCGGCCCGAACACTCACCGTCACCCAGACAAAGCTTCAGTCCAGTCGGCTGGAGAGCGCGTCCCGTCCCGGTACAGCTGATCCGGTTAAAGACGAACCGTTTGTGGAAACCGCAACGTCTCCTTCCGCGACTCTTCCGGCTCTCCCGATATCCCGATCCAGCCGTGACGTCACACGCAGGCGGGGCGTCGCGGCTAATAGGTTTTCTGCTCCAGGCTGGTATGGAGCTCCAGAAGTACCAAACCGAGCCGCTTTTTTATTACTGTGATAATAAGATTAAACAAAACTACAACACCGGTATGTTACAGAAGAACACCTTTAAAAACACACATATATTTCAATAAATATTCTATAAAGTTCATTTATTCCAGCAAAAAGGGAAGCTCAAATATGGATTTAAAGTTATTTTTTAAGTTTTCTGTTGGAAGTTTTAACTATCCTGACTTACATCTAAGCCGCTTATATTCTTCTTCTGAAAGAATAAAAATTTATTGGACTATTTTCTATGATTTTACAAACATTGCATTTTATTTAGCTTGTATCAGGCAAGGCGTTTTGATACATAACATGAGCAATTCTCAAATAATAAAACCCAACCATCAATCACTTTGTATGAATGTAATTAATACAAAAAGACTTTTGTTTTTTTGTGAGGCTCCTTTCCTCTAGATTTCAGACTCTGGCTTGTAGGACAACAAATTGCAGCTTTCTGGTTCAACTTGTAAAGATGAACTTTATTTAACTTAATATCTGTGGAGCTGGTCAGAAGTTTCCATCCACTCATGTTCAGGATTAAAGTAATAATATTATGGAGCTTTAAAAAACACTTGAATTGTGTTTTTTTTTAGGCTGGAAGTCAAGATTGTTTTTCAAACTGGTTAAATATTCATACACTCCAGTAATAACTGGTAAATGTCTCTGCAAGCTGATCACACACTCCATCACAAGCAACCACTTCAGACATCATTTCAGTTAAAACCAGTTTGAATCCAACAAACGCAACACGAAACGTCAAGACAGAAGCTCAGCCTCGGATCTGCAGTGGAAAATAAGTTTCAGTATTTTATTGAAAGTAAGCAATAAATAATACTGTGATAAAAATAGTTTATAAGTACTCAGACTGTACATCATTGTTACAAGATCAGAAGATTCAACAGGAGGAGCAGGAATAAAAACAGCAACATGATTTGCTTTGTGCATAAATGACAAAAATCACAAGAAAAAGAGACAACGTCGGTTCCTTCTGCATCGGCACGGAGACGGATGTTAGGACCTGTGTTTCTGGGGAACGAAAAGGACGAGACAACGCGGACGACTGATAATAAATAAGGGACAGGAAAGGAGTTAAGAACAATAAGGCTTGGTATAAAATCTTAGTACAAAGCAATTTTAAAAAAGGTTTATGGGAGGACGCGATGGCAGCAGGGATCAGCTGAGGCCTCGGTGAACTTGGTCCGCTAACGGAGCCCGAGGCGCCCGCCTGGACCGGACCGGACCGGACCGGACCGGACCGGCGAGGACGTCTGCGGGATCTCCGGAGATTAGGAAGGCTTGATTAAAGGGATCTGCAGGGAAAGGCGTGAGGGAGCTTCCTCATGAAACCTGGAGGTCTGATTTCACTGAAAGCAGCCTGCCGCTGCTGTTAGATGGCTTCAACTCTGGAGCATCAACATGTTTTGGTATTAGATATGAAAGAAGAAAGCAGAAAAAATCTGTTTCACATGATATTTGTCGTCATGCCCTGGATGGCCAGCAGTTCGGTTCAAGGCGACAGACGATCAGTTTATGAAACTCCAGCGATTAATTCACACAAGTAAGAGCCACATTTACATAAACTCACAGGTCAGGAGCTACAAAAAGATATGAATTAAGTTATATGTCATATTAAAGTCACTTAAGAATAAATTCAGTGATTAGAGAAGGAAAACATACATCTGGTCAATAATCAGGATTATAAAAAAGATTAGATAAAACGTCTGCTGGTAGAAATATACAAACTCCAGACAAGAAAAACATTCAGTTACAGAAATCTGAGACCAAACGGTTTTAAAAAGTGGGCTGATTAAGGGGACAGAGGCAAAAAGAGGTTACATTATAACTCCAAGTCAATTAAAAGTCCCATTGGTTGACATAAATATCATAAAAACATAGATTATTCTAGAAAGTTTCCTCTCAGGAAGTATCTGCTCCGTCGATAAAATCGTCCTTTTTAGTTTCGCTTCAGTTCATCATCCTGGTTCTGAATGCAGGGAATTCCCCTTCATCCTCTGACCAGCGGCTACCTATAGAAATAATGAGGATAAACTGAGAAGGGAGGAGAGAACAATGATGGATGGATGGAGGCAGGGAGGGAGGGAGGGAGGGGAGGAGGAGGGAGAGGGAGGGAGGGGATGATGGAGGGAGGGAGGGAGGGAGGGAGGGAGGAGGGAGGGAGGGAGGGAGGGAGGGAGGGAGGGAGGGAGGGGGAGGGAGGGGAGGGAGGGAGGAGGGAGGGAGGGAGGGACAGATGGATGGATGGATGGATGGATGATGGATGGATGGATGGATGGATGGATGGATGGATGGATGGATGGATGGATGGATGGATGGATGGATGGATGATGGATGGATGGATGGATGGATGGATGGATGGATGGATGGATGGATGGATGGATGGATGGATGGATGGATGGATGGATGGATGGATGGATGGATGGATGGATGATGGATGGATGGATGGATGATGGATGGATGGATGGATGGATGGATGATGGATGGATGGATGGATGGATGGATGGATGGAGACGGGAAGAGAGAAGAAGCGTAAAACGTGTTATTAAAGCTGAAACTTCTGACACAAGAAAGCTGCTTTCAGATGAGTAATGCAGGGAAACGGATACAGAACTCCAGATGTGCCAACAAGAAAACCTAAAAACCATTTCCATAAAATCTTTTTACTTTTATTATATTGTTAGAACCAGAACTTTATCACATTAGTTTTTGATTAATTACATAGATCTCAATGTGTTAAAATTTTAAAGGTATGAATCAAATTTTATTTTTTTTTTGCATTGTTTCTGGTAAGTTTCTAAATTTGATGGATATCTACCAACAGCAATGGATGACAAAATGTCTTTCTGCTCACTGGGGATTAATTTCTGCTTTTAAAGTGACCAGATTTGATGCTGGAAAAGACTATTTATTCAAAAATTTAGCAAAAAGAGTTTTTTTTTTTAATTATAAATGTCACTTACTTTTTGTCAAAAAATAAAACTAAAATTTTGATCGCTTTCTACCACTATTTTTTTATAAATTAAATGTTCATTTAGGAACTTTTAATCCTGGGAGTAATAATCTATTCACTTTCAGAGCAAAAAATTTCATGTTTCCAAACTACAATCTGTTTAATTTTCTCAGATGGCACTGACTGAGCTCCGTACCCTTGCTGCTTCTATCTGAATCTTGACAGTTGATGTGTGTGACCTTACCGTTGTGTTAACAAGAGTAGGTCCTGACTGTGGCAGTGTCCAGCCTCTGTATAGACTGACCTCCTGCGTTGCCATGTTGGTCAAACCGCATGCAAAGACATGCCGTTAGTGAGAATGAGCAGCGCAGCAAAGCCATTCAACAAGCATCAAGAGCAACACAAGTCTGAGCCCAACGGCCCGCCAGATCTATTTTACTCTAGTCAGGAAAAGAGGAGACATGCAGGAGAAGCTTGCCTGCTGCTGCTTACCGTCCATGGGGCTTCTCTTTGGCTGCGCGGATGGCGACGCGGCGCTGCTGCTCGTCACTCTGAAGTTAGGAGGCAGCGTGTCGGACGCACCCAGAGACATTCCCCTCATGTCTTTGGGCCTGAACTTCTTCCTCCATGAGGGAGCGCGCCGGAAGTTCTTGTCGTCATCCTGGAGCAAAGATGGCGGACGGTCATCCTGAGAGCGGATCTTAGCAACAGTTTGGGTCTCTGTGACGGTTTCTCACCTCCTCCACCTTCCTGTCCGCGCCGACGGCCATCAGACTGCCGTACTCGCGCTCCAGCGCTGCTCTGGCCTGCAGGTACACAGTTTACACACAATTTATCGGTTTTGGTCAAGAAACCTTGAGCAACTCCTGTTTTTTGGCACCTGTAGAGTTCCAACACATCATCCACCAGCAGACGTTTTACGCTTTCAATATGTAAACTACAAACCACAGACTGCAAATAAACAAATAAAGGTTTCCCTGCAGGGATCAACGCTGGGAATATCACCTCGTTTTCTAAAAACAAATATTCTGGTGACGATAATAATCAGAGGGTTTCACTGGCAGCCTTTCCTGAGTATGAATCTGTCCTGTTTCAGGCAGTAACTCTGAAAACAAGGCAGATGCAACTTTAGTGAAAAACTGAAAACCCAGTTTGGTTCATGAAGTTCAATAAACAGGAAAAAGGAGTTTAATCAGGTATTTTTACATCTTATATACAACCTCTTCATTTGTATTTCATTTTTATTTTTTTTACTTTTCATCTATATTTATATTACATAATTTATAAAAAGAAATATTTTATATAACATTTTAATTTAATTCAAATAATCTTTGTTTTACATATATATGTATTTTAATTAAAATAAAATGTATAAAAAAATGGTATTTTTTATGTAATTACAGGAGACATTTGAATGAAAACTCAAAACAAAGAAGATTTACAACGAGAGGAGAGAAGTGACAATAAATAATTAAAAAAAAAAGTAGAAATAATGACCAAAATAATTTATTAAATATACCTAGAATTAAATGTGTCAATAAAATGTATTGATTTAATTTCAAAAACTAGATACTTCATGTTTCAGCAGAAGAAAACCCAAAAAAAACAATTTCATCCCAGTTTGATATGGTTCTGAATAAAGTTTTTAAAATAAAATCCTTTCCCATAATCCATCAGCTGAATGTTGAGCTTGCAATAAAAACTCAGATCTCCTGTCAGGATTTAAAGTGAACAGAAAACATGAGCAGCAGGTGAAGACGAGCCGGGAGGATCTGAAACAGGAAGAAGCACTGCAGGCAGAAATGTGTGCGTGTCTCCTGGACGTCCCTCAGATCCGCAGCTTCCTGTCACAGCTGAAGCTGGGAGCTCAGTTTGTTTACATGTCGTCTTCATCTTGTTTATCTTGAAACTCTCCAGATTTGGGATTTAAGGTTCAAACAAGT